TGTACTCAAGGTTCCTAATGCCCGGGATTAATCTTGTTATTCTCCTCTGGATTCTTTCCAAGGATTCTATATCCATTCAGTAATACGGTGACCAAAACTGAACTGTGTAATCCAGGTGAGGTCACACAAGCGCTAGATATAATTTTAAGATGACCTCGCTAGTCTCGTAACTAACATTCCTTTGTATGAACCCAAGTACTTTATTAGCCTTGTTACGAGCAAAAGCACATTATTTACTTGGCTTAAGATTCCTACTTATCATTACTCCTAAATCTCTCTCTCAGTCGGATTCCACAATGGCATCATTGTTCATCTGGTAACTGGTTTCCCTGCTTACATCTCCTATACTGAGTACTTTACATTTATCCACATTGATTTTCATCTGCCATTTTTCCGACCATTCGAAAAATTTGTTTAGATCTTCCTGTAGTTTTGCAGAGTCCTCGTCAGATTTAATTACACGTCCTATTTTAGTGCCATAAGCAAATTTACTTATGTTGCGGTCTATGCCGATATCTATGTCGTTTATGTATATAATAAACAATAATGGTCTAAGTACTGAGCCTTGGGGAATTCCACTAGTGACGTTGCTCCAGTCCGATTTAGTGCCGTTTATGCTCACTCGCTGTTTCCTGTCCTGTAACCACGCCCTAATCCATTTAAGGATATTTCCTTTGATGCCATCCGCTTCTACCTTTCTAATTAGTCTTTCGTGGGGGACTCTGTTGAAGGCTTTGCTAAAGTCGAGATATACCACATCATAATTGTGCCCCTCGTCCACCGATTCGAAAACTGAAGAAAATAATGTTAATAGATTAGTTAGACATGAACGCCCGCTTGTGAAGCCCACTTGGGTATCATTGATCAACTTGTGCTTCTCCAGGTGGTTTCGAATAGAGTTTGAAATGATTGATTCTTGTAATTTGCCTACTATTGATGTTAGACTGATTGGGCTGTAGTTAGAGGATAGTGATCACTGATCTATCCCCCTTCTTGAAAATCGGTATTACATTCGCTATCCTCCAGGATTCTGGTACTACAACTGTTTTTAATGACATGTTAAACAACTTTGCTAAGGGCATACTAAGCTCTTCCTTACATTCCTTTAATACTCTGGCAAATAGCTCATCGGGACCAGGTGACTTATTAGGCTTCAGTTTGTCTATTTGCTTATTAACATCGTTACTAGTCACTACTATCTCGCTTAATTTGTTTTCTTCTCTATCTCTGAATAGAGTCGGTGCCTCGGGTATCATGTTTAGATTTTCGGTGGTGAAAACTGTTGAAAAATATTTATTCAGATTATTGCTCATTTCTCCGTCGTTATCAGTTAGCTCACCAGTATCTGAACTTATTGGACCTATCTTATCTCGTGTTTTAGTTTGATACATTTGGTAGAATCCTTTGGGGGTTTGTCTTCGCCTCCCCTGCTATCTTCAGTTCATAATTTCTCTTCGCTTTTCTTATCACGTGTTTTCCCTCTCTTTAAGTCCCGCCCATTTGGGGTAGTAACAGTTGTCAATGCGCATATTCCACTTTTTCCTGGCATGCTCAATCTCTAATTAGTTTACGTAGATCAACTTAAGAAATTCGCCAGACCCGTGTCAACTGAGGGTTATCTTTGAATGTGTAGCAGTTGGTTTGATTGTAATTTCTGTCTTTGCGTGAGTTGCCATATCTGGCAACTCAGGCCGTATATAAACCTGTGCATGAAGGAGAAATCCCTTTGACGATTTCCAAATTATCCTAGGTATGTGAATGAGTGTTCCCACCGATATAGTCATTCAGTTTAATTTAGTCAATTTTGTGAATATCAGTGTTCATGTTGTAACAGTGAAATTGTCATTTACCCAGTATAAGAACTACTATAACGTAAATGTCGTCTGTCGTTGCTAGAAGAAAGATTGTTTGTGATTGAGTCATCATCATCCCTTCTTTGACGTTTTCCAAATTATCCCAGATCCAGTGTGTGGGTTATTTGAACATCCCACCGGCTGCCCGGGGTCGGTGGATACCTAACAGTTAGCTGTATTAGACCATGTCACTGATTTTGCATCTTGGGAACTAGACCCTAGACTCCCGCCACATGTCAGACTTCAACCGACCATAACAGCGATCTTCATTTGTTGAGACGCCAGTGTTCTACCCTGGGACACTTCGTACAGTTGTATGGTCCAGTATTTGTTATATATGATTATCCCATGTTGGGTAGTGAACCCATAAAATTGTTAGTATCAGTAATAACGTGTTATGTGTTGTGAGTGCATCCTCCATATGTACTACCAACAGTTCTAGTGAAGGTACCATATGTAAGTTTGTCATGTGGGGTAGTCTATGTAATGTACCACCAGTAATGTTGTAAGAAGTAAGAGTATCTAAGTGGAATTGCAGATGAGTAAGGCCAAGGAGTTGAATCTTTTAGTTGTATGTTACTGACATCTTTTACCTAATTTAATTTCATATTAATAAACCATTTCTTAGAGTATATTAGGGGTATCATTTTCTCTCAGTATTCACCTTTATTTTTGTCCAATGACTTGATACCAGAATTACAGTACCCATGTGCCCTAACCCTCGCCATGCTACCAAAGGACTGAGGATATAAAGTAACCATGAAATGAAATATTTAGACAACAAATGAAGGAACTTAGACAAAGAGAGAAGTATGAAATAAAAATATAAGGGAGAAGAAGAAAATCCCTGCCCTTATACAGGAGCCAGTGCATGCCAGTATTTGCCAACAGTGTATAGCAGAGACGTGACCTATCGCCCAAGCGGCTAACGAGCCGATCAGTGGTGAAAAGGATAAAGGTAAAAGCTAAGGATTGTATTTTTTCTGAGCGCGACCTGTCACACCCAGCTCACACATGACGTCATCAGGTAGACAGGTCGAGAGAACGCCCCCTCAGTCGGCTGCAGCCCCTACTGAGAAAATTGGTGTCTCTGTTACTTTATTTATATAATTCCCACTAATTATGCAGCGTTTGGGTGTATTTCTTTATTCAAACGGGACGGGAATATACACTTTCATACATTTCCTGAAGATTAAGAAAAACATCAATACTGACATCACCAGGAAGACTTCCACGCCCCCCCCCCCTACCTCGCTTACCTTATAAACAGAACATTTTATGGTTCCACATGCTTAACTTTGTTATCTCAGTATCTCACATAAAAATAATACTAGTAGAGTATGTGATCTTGCATAATTTTAGCTAAGGACACCAATTAGTGTAGTGGGTGAATTAGAATATACTGTACTGTATAATATTATGCAGCGCACTGCACCACTGAATATCGAAGCTGAATGTATTTCTTGTGCCTATGCACCCTGGCACAGGTCATCGACCCACAACGAGGCCTGGAGGGCGAAAAAATAAGAGAAAAAAATTAATATAAATTAGAGGAGAAAAAGACTATGTTAATATACATCACGAAGATGCCGGAAAACCAGCTTTTTGAAGTGAGAGAGATTGTAAGAGTATGGAAACACAGAAGAAGGCAGAGCATTCTGCAGTTTGGCTGTGTGAGGAAAGAAGTATGTACTATAACGGGTTATTCTAGTGTGACCGATATCCACACAAACGGTGGGCACTGCGGGCAAGACGAGTGTTACGAGCCCACTGCCTTGCCGGCGGTACACACGATGCCAAATCCACCGAACATTGCCTTTTAAAGTACCTGTAAAAGAGAGAGTGAAGCAACATTGCGGCGAAGAGAAAGGGAAGAGAGATTATTGACTAAAGGAGAAGAGTCAAGAAGACGAAATGCCTTTGATTCCATCCTATCAAACAGTTGGACCGAAGAAGAGCCACCCCAGTTATGAGAGCAGGACTCCAAATTAGGACGAATGAAGACCTTATAAACCTGAAGCAACTGTTCAGGAGTGAAGTAGCTACAGTATCTGTACAGCATCCCCAGCTTTCGGGAGGCAGCTTTAGCAATGTTGCGGATGTGTGGCTTCCATGACATATTAAAGGAAATGGTGAGGTCTTGCATATCTATTTTAGAATTTGACAAAATGATTGCGATTGAGGGAATCTTCATGGTGACGTCAGCAAAGCTCCGCTCACCTGCGCGAGGGATGACCTTTCCTTCTATAAACCTTGGTACAGGCCTTGAATAGAACCATAGCGCCCTGTTACACGCGCTTATAGCACCAGGGTGCCCTGTCGGACCCAGGCGCTCATATTGTAAACAAACATATCAGATGTATGTAGGAATATCAAAATCAAATGTATACTATATATACTTTTAAGCAATATATTAAAAATGTGATACTGGGTACTATTTAAATTAAATATAGTAGTTTTAGATGTCTCAATTTTATATTTTAATCATCTATGGCTATCCTTATTATCTAGTATGGATCTAGACTCGATCAGGGAAACTGGCGCAAAGCAATCAGGCGGGAACGACACGTTTCGTCTGAACGATAGGACGTAACAACTCGTGGAAAAATCGATAGAAAATGGGAAAGTTTATGCAAAACGTGTTTGTACGACGCGCCTAACATGAAAACGTTGAAGTATAATTAAAAGCACCTTCACCGATAAATGCCAGAAAGTACTGTTAAGGGTGAGCACCTCAGCAAAGACAGAGAAACAGACACTATGGTCTGCAGGGTGGAATCAGATAGACCAACTGATACGTAAATATATATTTATTTAATAATTCTTGCCAATGTAACAAGTTAATCTATATAGACAACATATCCTGATAAATTAGTATTTTAAATTATATGAAAAATTACAAATTTAAATATAAACATATGTATATGAAAATACTAAAGTGAAAAGGCTAAAATACTTGCTATAATATTAAACGAATTATATACTGTATATATATATATATATATATATATATATATATATATATATATATATATATATATATATATATATATATATATATATATATATATATATATATATATATATATATATATATATATATATATATATATATATATATATATATATATATATTTTTTTTTTTTTTTTTTTTCCAATCAACAAAACTTTATTGAATTTTGATAATTCTTTACGGTTGCTTCGTAGTTCAGGTGTGTGTGTGTGTAGAGAAAAACAAACCATGATGAACTATGGGCACACAGAAAACAAAGTATCATCACAGTTTAAGTTAAATAAATATGACGGCCAGAGAGAGAGCTTCTTGAAGTGAGTGAGTGAGTTAGATGTGTCTCTCACACACGACCGGCTTCTGGTGGTGACAGGCCACATCGTGCCACTTGACGCCGTCCCTATAGAAGTTGTTGAGGATGGCCAGGCAGTTTTCACTCTGATTTTCACGGTTGTCAGGTTGTGGCCGTTGCTGTCTGTAAGATACAGTGATAGTTACTGTAAACTGTAAGATACAGTGAGTTACTGTAAACTGCAATATACAGTGAGTTACTGTAAACTGTAAGATACAGTGAATTACTGTAAACTGTAAGGTACAGTGAGTTACTGTAAACTGTAAGATAAAGTGAGTGACTGTAAACTGTAAGATACAGTGAGTTACTGTAAACTGTAAGATACAGTAAGTTACTGTAAACTGTAAGATACAGTGAATTACTGTAAACTGTAAGATACAGTGATAGTTACTGTAAACTGTAAGATACAGTGAGTTACTGTAAACTGTAAGATACAGTGAGTTACTGTAAACTGGAAAATACAGTGAGTTACTGTAAACTGTAAGATACAGTGATAGTTACTGTAAACTGTAAGATACAGTGATAGTTACTGTAAACTGTAAGATACAGTGATACTGTAGTTACTGTACAGTACAGTTTGTAATACGTAGCTGTTACTATGGCCTGACATCTGACCCACAGTAGTACAGTATTGTTATGGTAAAGTTCACATAATGGTTAAAACAACATTGATACGCCTCACACACACACACACACATATATATATATATATATTATATATATATATATATATATATATATATATATATATATATATATATATATATATATATATATATATATATATATATATATAATGTGTTTGTGAGAAACAACAAACACTCACTGTCCAGTATGGGACCATTCTTGGACATTGAAAGACTCGCCGTTGTGCCAGGCGAAGTTGCGTCCCCCGGTACGGTAACCACCAGTCCAGATGTACGGCAGACCGCCTGTTAATATCATACATACAGTACTGTAGTGTATTATTATTAATTAAAGTAAGATACAAGTGTAAACAATAATACCGAACTGGATAAGAAATTAATGTAGATATTTACGAACATAATTATATATATTCTCATATAAATGGTTCAGATATAAAGTACGTAATGTCTGTGGCCTTCATGATTTTGCAAGTGGGCCGCCGGGAATGGTCTAAACTCTTCGTGTATTATGAGGGCCACCGCACTTCAAAGTGAGATAGAGAATAAATTAGTTGTTTATCTAATCATCAGTTGGGCTAAATTATATATGAAAAATATTTCCAATAATAATGTAATTTTATCAATATGCTATTCTGAACTTCACTCCAAAATCGTTTCTACAGATAACTTGCTTTGTTACTGAAACACTCAAAGACTACAAAAAACTGTTTGGGGGCCGCATGCGTCCCCCAAACCGCGAGTCGGGGCCGCTGCAGTCTAGAAGAAGAAACAAAAATGGAAATGATATATTGGTGTTGTTAAGAGAGTCACTCAATATTACCGACGATGCCGTGAATGAATCTCAGTTCTTCCTCGGAGCTGATGGCGACGGCGTCCCATTGAGGACCTTGACGTTGACAGTAGACCCGAGCGCCACCACCTGAGAATTTTTCCCCAGGAGCATGTTTAAAGGAGAAGTGGTACTCGCTTTGGCCACTGGTGGCGTCAACCTGCAACAATAACAGCAATAACAAATGCAGCATTAGAAACTAAAAGAACCGTCTAGTAAACAAAAAAACAAATAAATAAACAAACTCAACACTTATAACATCCCCACAGCAGAATATATCATTACTTGGAAAGGAAAAAAACAAAACTTACGATCCCAGAACCCGAAGAGGCCCTGTTGAAGCCACCTGTTGTTGGTCGAGCAAACTGTTTGTGCCCTAGCGGACGACGGAAACCACCAAAAGGTGAGAAGCGTACAGAATGAAAGTTCTGGCCCGACACAAACCCGATCACGCCAACGAACACCAGCAACACCGCGGCTTTCATCTGGGGAGTAGGAAACGTTCATACCACCACGTGAACTGGGAGAAAACGTTCATACCATCACGTGAACTGGGAGAAAACGTTCATACCACCACGTGAACTGGGAGGAAACGTTCATACCATCACGTGTACTGGGAGAAAACGTTCATACCACCACGTGAACTGGGAGAAAACGTTCATATCACCACGTGAACTGGGAGAAAACGTTCATACCATCACGTGAACTGGGTGAAAGCGTTCACACTATCACGTGAACTGGGAGAAAACGTTCATACCACCACGTGAACTGGGAGGAAACGTCCATACCATCACGTATACTGGGAGAAAACGTCCATACCACCACGTGAACTGGGAGAAAACGTTCATAACACCACGTGAACTGGGAGAAAACGTTCATACCACCACGTGAACTGGGAGGAAACGTTCATACCACCACGTGAATTGGGCGAAAACGTTCATACTATCACGTGTACTGGGAGGAAACGTTCATACCATCAAGTGAACTGGGAGGAAACGTTCACACCATGACGTGTACTGGGAGGAAACGCTCATACTACCACGTGTACTGGGAGGAAACGTTCATTCAATCACGTGTACTGGGATGAAACGTTCATACCATCACGTGTACTGGGAGGAAACGTTCATATTATCATGTGTACGGGGAGGAAACGTTCATACTATCACGTGTACGGGGAGGAAACGTTCATACCATCACGTGTACTGAGAGGAAACGTTCATACCATCACGTGAACTGGGAGGAAACGTGTACACCTGTGGATCACTTTTATGAACAGGTACACAATCCTTATTAATTAATACAGGGATCTTTTGCTCACTCCCTTATAAATACGTAAATCCTTTCCACACCTGTACTGGGTAACTACAGGTAGTAGGTAACTACCAAAAAGGGAGGTACTACCGGCTGGAAAGATATTGGAAACATAATGTGTTGTCTAATGGTAGACCCTGCTGCCATATGTGACCAAGTCCCAGGTTGCTGATCTGACTTTCTGCCTCATTTACATACAAATGCAGGGTCTCAGTTGTTTCTCTTACTATTGACAACACAACATACTCGTATTGTACGTACAGTATATCGTTTTCTCACTTTTGATTTGTTTTAATTTTTGTATTTCTTTATTGTTCTTTATTATTATTATTATTATTATTATTATTATTATTATTATTACGGTGTCATTATTATTATTATTGTTATCATTATTGTTTTTATTTTTATTTTGCATTTTTATTATAAATATTACTTATCCGAGTTATTATTATTATTATTATTATTATTATTATTATTATTACTATTACTATTATTATTATTATTATTATTATTATTATTATTATTATTATTATTATTATTATTGCCCCCAGGCCCCGTTGTGGGTCAGTGACCTGTGCCCGAGTGAGCTAATCCCTGCAAAAGAAAAAAATACTGTTCCTGTACTGGCAGTCGATGGCATCGAAATAGAAATTGGGACTGTACTGTAAGTGTGCTGCATTACTTCGACTAGAAAGAGAGTGAGTGAGCGACAAGTATTGGTGAAAGGTGTTGGTGACAACTACTGTATTGGCTACACGTATTGGTTACACGTATTGGTGACAAGTGTTTGTGACAAGTATTGGTGACAAGTGCTGGTGACGTGAGTAATACTGCCACCACTGTAATACAATATGACGCAGCTGTTACATCACTGTCTCTCTCACGGTTGTCTGGTGGTAACAGTGTTGCAATGCCAGTCGTGGCCTAAATGTCGTCCCATATAAGCAAAAGCCCACCTGGCGACAAATTGTGGAAATAAACGCTACTGTGGTGCTATATTATGTAAACAAAAGTAATTCCAGCTCCAAACGATGTGTACAAAAGCTATACTAGCGCCAAATCATGACGCTAAAAGCTATTCTGGTGCCAGACGGTGAATGTAAGAGAGAGGACGTAGTGTTAATTTGTCTCCTAATTGTTGTCAAGTGAATGTATCTAGCTTAGGTAGTTTAAGTGTCTGTCATAACACTACTACTTCACGGTACAGCATCGAGGACACAAGTGTTCTCTATGTTATGTCTTGTACGAGGAAACAACGTTCAAGAGACTGTCCAGTAAGACCGGACTCTTCTCCAACTACACTGGCTAACCAACACCCGCTGTACCAAGTACCAAGTTACCCAGGAATCGAATCCAGGTCTTCTGGCTTGTGATACGAGATTGCTAACCACTACACTACGAATCTCTATATGTGACAACATAACACACAGGGTACACTCACTATATCTTACAGTAGACTTACACTGTAAATTAATACACAGAGAATTCACTTTAAGTTCTAGTGTAAGTTGTGGAGACTTAAGAGTGAGAGGCTTGGCTAAGCTCACAGTCCAACACCTTACCTTGCACTGCGTTGAGTGTGCTCAGCTCCGTCGCGTCCGCCTTTATATAGCGGATGGCAGGCCCTCAGAAGGTCTCGCGTCCCCCACTCTACATGAGACACACCTCACCAGCTCTTCAAATATAGTTCTAGTGAAAAATTTATCTGAAAATCACAAAACACAGGGGTAGGGATGCTGGCCAATGGTGCAGCCTGGGTGAGGAGAGAGGACAGATTGACTGTGACCAGCCTTTACTCACCTGACCACCGAGGTTGTTGACTGAGTCCTAAGATGTTACCCTTTTCCATACATTTACTGAGAATCAACCAGTCTATTGTTGAGAAGATTAGGACACCGGTACAGACTACAGTCACAATGTAAACAAGAAACACGCATGTGTGTGTGTGTATGTGTGTGTGTGTGTGTGTGTGTGTGTGTGTGTGTGTGTGTTCCGGGTCAGTGTAGTTCTTCGGTGGATAGGGGGAATGAAAAAAGCTGAACTTGGTCATATAAACTGAGGAACACACAATCAACGTTCAATTTGGGACATAAGATACTACCAGATCAGTGGAATATATTTGAGGAAAACTGCTATTTCTTGAAACAAGTGTCTGCCCCTACGCAAGTCTTGGTGACCGGTGCAATATAAACGACTCTGCCATATCATCTTTTGTAATTTATCATTTTCTTAAACCTACTGTACAATTGACTTGTAGACAGTCTTAGTACATGCTCGCACATCGATAAACAAGGCCAGCTGAAGCCAGGGGCGATTCTACGGGGGGGGGGGCAGGGGCCATGGCCAGATTTTGGCTGGCCCTGGGTTGGCCCCCACTTTTTGTTCTCAAAATTGTAATTCCAAAAACATTCCCAAAACCAGGAAGTTAGTCAAGTGACTCAGGCAATGAGCGCGCCGCACGCCAGATGCAGGCATGGGTGAGGTGAGGTGAGGCCCGGAGGGCAGGAATTAGGAGGGTGCAGATATGCGGGGTGGGGTCACATCACGGTGTATATAAACAAACTGCCTTGTCGGTGATAAACATTACCACTCTGTATTTCCACTGAGGAGGGTGACAGACTGACAGTAATTGTCGAATTTGTCGCCGAAACTACCCAGAAGAAATATTTCGTCTGCCACAGTGCCACTGTGGGTTTTTCTACTTGCTAAGTGAGGTATGTTTAGAGAGAACATGTGAGTAATTTTTTAACTATAGGAGTAATATTACAATCAGTCAATCTCAATCATTCAGTTCAAGTGGCTGTAGTTGAGCTGAGCTGTACAGTATAAGGTAAATCAGTACAGTCCATGATGGCGTCATGAGAGACGTCACTTCACATTTGTCAATTAAATTGGTGTAATAATGCCAAAAACTGCATCTTGCAAATTGTACACAGGTTTGGGTTTGCCCCCCCCCCTAAACATTTACCTTGGCCCCAAAGTGCCCCCCCACTTTCCGAAGGCTAGAAACGTCACTAGCTGCAGCAAAATTACGAACTGTAAATGAGTACAGCTCAGATTGAATAATGCATCGCCAATCACAAAATACACAAAACTTTAAGTCCAAACCGACAACAGATTAGGTTTTAGTAAACCCCTTTGTATTAGAGTATTTAATTTATATGTACCCGAGACTCCTGCCAGATGCTTCTGATAACATTGTTCTGGTGTAACTAGTGACAGCAAACGCATCCCGTGTGCTATAATATGAAATAAACTGTTGAAATTGAAAATGAACCGGCAACTGTGCACCCCTCCACCCCCAGCCCCATCCCCTACCCTGCATCCCCGGAGAAACTTGACCATCACCCATACACACTGCCAGAATGAGCTGACGCCTCTGTTACATTACACACCCACCCACCACCTGTGCAGAGATGGCATTCCACAGCAGTAAAGTCGCCTGTACACCCCTCTATACAGTACAACACAACAGGCGGCAATTCCAGCGTTCACCAGATGATGGACATTGTCTTGTCTCTTCGTTCCTAGTGACTAGAATGTGGATATATTTAGAATAAAACACACGCAGAAACTATCTCCGACGACGACCATAAGCACCGCGTCACCCCACACAATATAAATTCCCTGTTTGGGATCTTTTTTCTCTGATACTGGCTTATAATTTTGATAGATAGATCGATAAGTTTAACCACAAGAAAATGCCAAATTACATACATTAAATCACATAAAAAATTTAAAAACAAAATAGCCTCAGCCTTATGGTCCATAAAACAATATAAACTAAAACCAGAAGAAAAATCAATTCACAAACAATGTGTTCTTGGGGATGATTATAAAAGATGAATGTTGTATAAAATGAGAAACACAAAATTTAAATACATGTAAACATAGGAATAGAATGTGTACTCTTAACCACCTATAAAAGACAGAACTTGAGCCATTAGCAGTAGACAGTGGCTGTTCCATCGATGTGATATTGTAAATATGGCACACACACACACACACACACACACACCGGATCATGGGGAAGGACTTCATCACGCGCCTTTCTGCTTGCACGGCCCCTCAAGGGCAAAGCCGCTTCCCCATCGGTAGGCGACCTAGACCCTGTCTCTTCCGGCTGCCCGTCTCCACTGCCAGGGAGTGCCCACCCACACGAAACTGAGTGAAAAATAAATCTATATAACTCTTACGAAAT